GTTTGATATAATATTTTTCATATTTATAAATTTTTTCACTGATTGAGAAAAAAATATAATATATATATATAAATCAATTAAATTGTACAGTTGTCATGTTGTGGGCTCACTTTAAAAATTTAAATCATTCCTCTTTTATGTCCCACTAAGATGTATGATTAAATATCAATAACTACGTGATCGAATCACGTTTATTTTTAAAAAATGATTAGTTTTGATTATAGACCATCTATTTATTTTAAGACAAATCTAATTTTCTTACAGGAATAATCATCTTGGTAGGACTTACAAGTGATAGCACTACAAGAAAAGTGGGCTCAAAAGACGGAACCTTTTGCGACGGCACATTTGCCATCGCAAAAAATGACTTTTTGCGACGGCACAACTTACCGTCGCAAAAAAAGTGACTTTTTGAGACAGCACAATTTATCGTCGCAAAAAATGTACTCTTTTGAGACAGCACAACTTACCGTCGCAAAAAATGTGAGTTTTTGAAACGGCACAACTTGCCGTCGCCAAAAAATGTAACTTTTTGAGACGGCACAGCTTGTCGTCGCAAAAAATGTGACCTTTTGAGACGGCACAACTTGTCGTCGCCAAAAAATGTGACTTTTTGAGACGACACAGCTTGCCGTCGCAAAAAATGTGACCTTTTGAGACGGCACAACTTGCCGTCGCAAAAAAAATGTGACTTTTTTAGACAGCACAACTTGCCGTCGCAAAAAATAGAGTATTTGCGACGGCATAAAATGCTGTCGTGAAAAAATAGAGTATTTGCGACGGCAGAAATTGCTGTCGCAAAAAAATAGAGTTTTTGCGATGGTACCAGCTGCAGTCGCAAAAAAAAAAAAAAAAAAAAGTTTTTTGCAACCGTAATAGGTACCGTTGCACACAAAAAAAAAAGTAAAAAAAAATATATATATATATATATATATATTGTGGCTTTGAGACGGCTTCATATATATATAGTTACAAAATGGTTTAAATAAATGCAACGGTATTTTTCTGTCACAAAAAACAAAAAAAAAATGACGTCGTCTTACTCTTTTGAACATTTATCTTTTCACCCATTTTTTCATCTTCCTATCTCTCTGTCTCTGCCTCTCTTCTATCTCTCTCTATCTCTCTCTCTCTCTCTCTCTCTCTCACTTATCACTCTTCACTCTTCTTTGTTTGTCTGTCTCTCTCTTTCTCTTTGTGTCTCTGTCTCTCTTCTTTTTCTCTCTCTCACTCATCACTCTTCTATGTCTGTCTGTCTCTCTCTTTCTCTCTGTCTCTCGTCCATCTCTCTTCTGTTTATCTCTCTCATCTCTCTTCTCTCTCTGTCTCTCTTCTCTTTCTCTTCTCTTTATCTCTCTCGCTCATCTCTCTCTGTCTCTCTCTCTCGTTTATCTTTTTTCGCTCTTTTTTTTTCTCTCTCTCTCTTTGTCTATATCTTTTTACCCATTTTTTTTATCTTTCTCTCTCTCTTCTCTTTCTCTCTCTCACTCATCACTCTTTTCTCTCTATCTATCTATCTATCTATCTATCTATCTGTGTGTGTGTGTGTGTATGTGTGTGTCTTTCACTCATCTATCTATTCTCTCATCTCTTTTCTCTCTCTGTCTCTTTCGTTCATCTCTCTTCTCTCTCATCTCTCTCGTCTCTCTCGCTCATCTCTCTTCTTTCTATCTCTCTCTCTGTCTCTCTCGTTCATCTGTCTTCTCTCTATGTCTCTCTCGTTCATCTCTCTTTTTTCTATCTCTCTTTCTCTGTCTCTCTCATTCATCTCTCATCTATCTCTGTCTCTCTCGTTCATCTCTTTTCTCTCTATCTCTCTCCCCGTCTCTCTCGTTCATCTCTTTTCTCTCTATGTCTCTCTCGCTCATCTCTCTTCTTTCTATCTCTCTCTGTCTCTCTCGTTCATTTCTCTTCTCTCTCTGTCTCTTTTTCTGTCTCTCACTCTCTATCTCTTTATCTCTCTATCTCTTTATCTTTTTGTCTCCCTCTCTCTCTCCCCCATTATGTTCGTGTTGCTCACTCTCCCCCTTCCATCTTCTCTATTTACTGAGTTCCCTCTCGATTTATCTATCCACTACAAGAAAATGTACTTTTAGCGACCACTTTGTCTCTCTCTTGCTCATTACTCTGTCTCTGTCTCTCTTCTCTATCTGTCTCTCACTCATCTCTCTCTCTCATCACCCATCTCCTTTACCACCTTCTCCACTACTGCAAACGCCATTCCACTACCATCATTACTGCCATTATCGCCACTTCACCTCTACGACTACCATTATTACTACTACCATTGCCACCACTCCACTACCACCACCATCACTACTGCCACTACTACTACCATTACCTCTCCTTTACCCCTGCCACTCCATCTACTCTACCACTACCACAACTTTTCACCACTAATCTCCTTCGTCATCGCCATCACCACTACCACCGCTATCATCTTTTATCCACCACCTTCACCACTATTGTCGCTCCCTCTCCTCTACCACAAAAAATTAGTTCATAATTTTTAATAAAAAAAAAAAAAATGGACCGCAGAAAAATATTTTTCATTGACCACAGAAAATTAAATTTTATTTTAGTGGAAAATATTTTTCATTAAAATATTACTCCTACTTCTACCAAATAAAAAATAATAATATTTTTTTTCATTAAAATAAAAATGAAACAAATAAATTTTCAATCTTAGTAACTAAAAAAAAAGAAATTTTTTTAAAAAAATTCATTAACTACAAAAAAATATATATTTTAATAAAAAATAAATTTTTTGACGACGGCAACCCCTGTCGCAAAAAAAAAAAAAAAAAAATTTAAATGACATTATTTTATTATTTAAATTTTATTTATGATCCTAATTCAGATGAAAGTGTCTTTTACAGGTGGAAAATTTTGAGAAAATGTTCAGTCTATTGCAAACTGGATGAATGAGTTCCAGTCGATGAAGCTTAATATTGTTAGAATTGGGTATAGTAGTGGGCACGATCCTTCATTATGCTAATACTAAACTCTGTAATTGGTCAATGGATATTTTTTATGATGCAGGCGTTACTGGACTAGTTTAGTTTGTGTGAACTGCATTGGTTTGTCCTGTTGTTCTTACTGGGAAAGAATGAGATCAGCGTGTTGTTTCAAGTGTGAGATTGTTTTTAGTCTGCATTAATATCTTTGTAAAATGTAACCTTTGTTTTTTTGCTGCAACTTGCAAGCCCCCATAGGGAGTCTCTTACTGGTCATTATTTGGTCAGTTACTTTCTTTTGTCATGTTGGAGTCACATTGAAATCCATCAAAGATAGGATACCTGTTACTGAAAAAAACAAAATCGTTAGTTTAAACTTGAACAGCTTGATAGATAAGTATTTATTACTAATATTATCTCATTTTCCTCTATTTTCTGGTTAATATTATCTCATTTTCCTCTATTTTCTGGTTAATATTCTCTCATTTTCCTCTATTTTCTGGTTAATATTCTCTCATTTTCCTCTATTTTCTGGTTAATATTCTCTCATTTTCCTCTATTTTCTGGTTAATATTCTCTCATTTTCCTCTATTTTCTGGTTAATATTCTCTCATTTTCCTCTATTTTCTGGTTAATATTCTCTCATTTTCCTCTATTTTCTGGTTAATATTCTCTCATTTTCCTCTATTTTCTGGTTAATATTCTCTCATTTTCCTCTATTTTCTGGTTAATATTCTCTCATTTTCCTCTATTTTCTGGTTAATATTCTCTCATTTTCCTCTATTTTCTGGTTAATATTCTCTCATTTTCCTCTATTTTCTGGTTAATATTCTCTCATTTTCCTCTATTTTCTGGTTAATATTCTCTCATTTTCCTCTATTTTCTGGTTAATATTCTCTCATTTTCCTCTATTTTCTGGTTAATATTCTCTCATTTTCCTCTATTTTCTGGTTAATATTCTCTCATTTTCCTCTATTTTCTGGTTAATATTCTCTCATTTTCCTCTATTTTCTGGTTAATATTCTCTCATTTTCCTCTATTTTCTGGTTAATATTCTCTCATTTTCCTCTATTTTCTGGTTAATATTCTCTCATTTTCCTCTATTTTCTGGTTAATATTCTCTCATTTTCCTCTATTTTCTGGTTAATATTCTCTCATTTTCCTCTATTTTCTGGTTAATATTCTCTCATTTTCCTCTATTTTCTGGTTAATATTCTCTCATTTTCCTCTATTTTCTGGTTAATATTCTCTCATTTTCCTCTATTTTCTGGTTAATATTCTCTCATTTTCCTCTATTTTCTGGTTAATATTATCTCATTTTCCTCTATTTTCTGGTTACATCTTCATATTTTGGCTTGTTACTCTTCACCGTTTTGGTAGTTCTTACTAATCACTTTATCCCCTAATATTGACGTCAAGTGTGGAGTCTTGTATGGATAACCTTTTTATATCTTTAAATCTTATCTCTCAAAACATGCGATAAAAAAGCTTCAAATTTTCCGGACTCTAGGTAGTTGCAAAGTACCCTTCTTTTGTTCAAATTCTCCATGTACTAATACCCGTGAACTTTATGATACTAGGGGTATCAATGATATTCACACTTGGGTGTTCCATTTACTCCAACTATCTGCATGTGTCTTTTCATTATTATGATTCTTATTATTTGTTTGATAAAGACAATATATTTGCTTTATTATATCATCTCTTTCAATCACATTTGGGAATGGCACCTCAAAGAGGTAGTTTGTATTTTTCTCTTCCTTTGTTGCTCATTCTGTCTTACAAAAGTCAAATTTATATTTCACATTGAAAGTAAAAATAGATACTTTGAAATGCTATCCATATGGTACTTCACTGAAGTTTCTAATCATTTCAGCTTCCATGAAATGTTATCCATACTCCTGTGTTTTTTTTTTAAAAAAAAATATTTATTATTATTATTTTTTTGGAGTTGTTTCTTTTGATTTGTGTTGACTGTGAGACAAGTATGTCTTAGAGAATGACTTGCAAGTAAGAACTTTTCTTATCGAACATGGGTTCGAAAAAGGGTTACAAGGTGTCAAAAAAGCATGTCTTACACACCACTATACCTGGTATGTATTACTATTGTCCCCATGTCATTTAGTAATCTATTTGACGACAATAAGGAAATTTCTTAATGTGCTGAATCAGGATGTGTTGATTGCAATTGAATGGAAAATATATTCTTATGGGAAAGGTTTTTAAAACCGCGGATCGTCTTTGCGGTGTCCTTGGATGAGATGTTTGGTGGAGAGATATCTGTTTCCATGGTATTTCCTCTTTTTTTTTGCTGTTGTTATCTAAAAAAATATAAGATAGCCTTCTGAAATTTGTAAGTGGTTTTGTTTCTTCAATTTAAATTTTCGTTTAAACTTGATCTGGGCTCACTGATTGATGTTTAAGGCCATTTAAATTTGAAATTATCATTGCGTTCATTAGAGACATTACAAATTGATCCCATCAAATGTGTTGTTGGGGGTTAAAATCTTTCTTGCTTGTTCCTAGGTCCTTTTTTTCATTTTTTTTAATTGTCATCTTATTTAAAGGTTGTATATTTGAAGTGCGTTTGAAGTGATGCAATTTTCTCTTTTCCTATTCCCTGTCTACTAATTGTAATAGAAAAAAAGAAAAAAGAAAAAAAGAAAGTGCTTTGTATATCAATGTTTTGAAGATCAATGGCATAAAATTTTCATTTATGTGTTTTTAGGGTGGAACAAGAGGACAATTCTGTGAAGAAAGCACTTTAAAGTCATCTTCACCAAACCTCAAGAGCTCAGGCACTAGGAAAGAGGTAATTAAACACAGAATTTGCTATTACAATGACACGAAACCATCTTCACTAAACCTCAAAATGCACTTGAAAGTTTGGCCTTTGTAACTTGGCTTTTAGTTTCCTACAACATATATATTTTTTCTTTTCTAGCTTGTTCTTATCGTCTCATTTTTCTTATTACTTTCTCACAAACAATTCATCTTAACCAAATGCACGTGTGAAACTAAATTTTCTTTCATTCTTCATCATATTTTTCACTCTATTCAAACAGACCCTAAACAAATTATTGAAATCAGACAATAAATTTACATGTTTTCATAATTTAGGTAGCAAGCAGATTGATAGAAAAGAAAGAGGAACAATAATTCTATGGACACAGAATCACGGAACATAATGGTGAAGTGAACCTTTTCCGTGGTGTGTGTCTGATGTATATGACTATAGTATTCTATAATCCATTTTGTAATTAGTTATGTGCGTTGAAAAAAAAAGACAAGAAGGGCCTTAATCAAGAACTTGTTTTAACATTGTGATAATATAATATGTTAAAAATAGTTAGACAAAATGGATAAAGTCCGATTCAATTGCAATAAAAAAAACCTTAACATTTATGAATTGTCTCATATTTTATTTATCAGCAGGTTATAATTGACCAAAGCCATTGATTACCCCTTTTCTTGGTATCTCATTGTTGAATGCTCTAGGAATCTGAATATACTAATTAATCGTGCCATGTGATGACTTCAAATTTTTGTGCCCATTTTTTTCACCAAAAGAATATTGAATTTGTGTATTACAAATTTGTTTGATTTGAATTCTTGTGATCTTAGGATCCCTAGGTCTTCAGAGCCCATCAACTCTATATAGATGTTTGAATCATTAGGCAAGTTTTAGATAAATTGATATAAGTAATTGAAGCATTAAATTGAAGGGTTATCTTTCCCAAGTGATTGATACCTCAAATTTTATTGCAGACCACAAAAGTAAAAGTAGTTAAATATATTGTTTGTCCTTAAAATATGCCTTATGTTTCATTTTGGTTTATAATATTTCAATTATGTCAATTTAATTGATCTAAATGGTTCCAACTCTGTTTTTGTCCAAATTTTATCTAAATTTCAACCAAAGTACCTCTTTTTGGTTATAAAATTTGAAAGGAAGGAGGTGTTTGGAACATTTAAACACAAATTAGATAAGTTGTGGACTAAATTCTTTATTTAGCCGAAGTAAAAAAAGGTAAATGATGTCTTTCATTACATTTTTTGTTTTTTTTTTGGTGTTGAATTCTTTAACTTCTCATAAATTAAATTTGTTCTTCTGATATATACTCCAGTTCTTTTCTGGTTTGTGAGATTGTATGTTGGAAACTTGGAATATACATTTGAATTTACCATAATTGATTAACTTATATATAACATTTTTTTGTTCCTCTAGCATGATGAACTTGAATCAGCAAAAGCTAAGATGACAGAAGTGAGACAAGAAAATGCAAGATTAAAGATGATGTTAGAGCAAATAGAGAAGGATTAGCATGATGAACTTTTGTTTTTGTTATCTACGAAGAATGATGAGAAAAATATTTAATTTTGGTTTATGTTATTTTGAATTATGAACAAAATCATGTATTTAAACATTATATATGTATTATGGAACATTATGTAGTGGAATAATTTTGTTGATGTGTAATTATGAACGGAAGAATATTTTATTATGGAGAAATTGTTATTTTTATACAGGAATTTTTATATTATTATGTAATTATTATGGAGAAATTCTAATATTTTTAATAATTTTATCGCATGATGTTTTTTCTTTTTTGTGACGGCACTACACCGTCGCAAAAATAGAAAACTTTAATATTTTTATTGATTTTGTTATAGGTTTTATTTTTTGCGACGACACTAAATTGTCGCAAAAAATAGAAATTTTATTATTTTTTTAATACTTTTTGCGACGGTAGTACACTGTCGCAAAAATAGAAATTTTCATATTTTTAATATTTTTTGCGGTGGCACCACACCGTTGCAAAAATAGTGTTCTTGCTGTTGCAAAAAAAAAAGACTATTAGCGACGGCATTTTTTGTCGTCTCAATAGCATTTTTAGCGACGGTAAAATAGTACTGTCACAAAAAGTCAAGAAATTTCAAACATTATTAGCGACTGCAAAGTGCCGTCGCAAATGGCAAAAATGCCGTTGCAAAACATTAGCGACGGGACTGTGCCGTTGCAAAAACTTTTTTGCAACGCCCTCAGTTGCGACCCCCATCTTGTCGTCACAAAAAGTTTTTTGCGACGACATTAAGAGTATTAGCGACGGTATTTTCCCATCGAAAAAAGTTGAAATTTTAGTAGTGTTGTTTGGATCACTAAGGTAGGCCCAAGCGAGGAAAAATGGTCCTTAACCCTTATATGAAACTATGGCTGAGATCCTTGAGGTCATTTTGATTTGCATAAGATTAGGCAAGATAATTTATTCCCAGATATTCAAGATTTTTTTGTCATTTACACTAAAGAGTTATCCTATCTACACTTTGGGGTGTGTACGGTGTGGTTCGGATGGTTTAAGAGTAAAATTATAAACTAAATGACAGATTGACGGATTAGCAGATTGACAAATTGCAGTTTGGGCGGTTTTAGGCGAATTGAATAATATTTTAACCAATTATCAAATATTTCGATTGGCGAATTGAAGAATATTCTAACTAATTATCATACATTTGCATAGTATATAACATTAATTTGTATAATACTTTTTAGATATATAACACAAAGTAATTTTACATAATATGTTTCATACATATAACCACTAATTTGTAACAAATTTCATATCTTAAATCTCTCTCACACTCATTTTTTCATTAATATTTCATTGGAAGTTAAAAAATATATGTATTAACTATAGCGGAGCGGAGCGGTTCGATTGGCGGATTATAAATTTTAAAGTTTAAACAGCAGTTAGCGATTAGAGCAGTGCAGATTGATGTAGATCGGTACGGTTTAAGCGGATTGGCGGTATTTTGCACGACCCTATGTGTTACTACTACTAGTAACATTGGAACCACAAACAAAACCCTTTCTTATACGTTTTTTCTCATCTATGATGATTATATTTTTTCTTTTGTCTTTGTTTTGGGTTAGAAGGTGATAATGTAATTCATAAATTTATTTTCGCTTTACTAAAGCCGTTTTCATGTAAAGTTTTTTATTTTTTACTTTTTTCTCTTGTCTTTGTTTTGGGTTAGAATGTGTTATTCAAAAATTTGTTTTGGCTTTACTAAAGCCGTTTTCATGTAAATAATATATTTTTTTTTCCTGTTGTCTTTGTTTTGGGTTAGAAAGTGATAATGTAATTCATAAATTTCTTTTCGCTTTACTAAAGCCGTTTTCATGTAAAGTTTTTTATCTTTTATTTTTTTCTCTTGTCTTTGTTTTGGGTTAGAATGTGTTATTCAGAAATTTGTTTTGGCTTTACTAAAGCCGTTTTCATTTAAATAAATTTTTTCTTTTTTTGTTGTCTTTGTTTTGGGGTAGAAGGTGATAATGTAATTCATAAATTTCTTTTCACTTTACTAAAGCCGTTTTCATGTAAAGTTTTTTATTTTTTATTTTTTTCTCTTGTCTTTGTTTTGGGTTAGAATGTGTTATTCAGAAATTTGTTTTGGCTTTACTAAAACCGTTTTCATTTAAATAATTTTTTTTTTCTGTTGTCTTTGTTTTGGGGTAGAAGGTGATAATGTAATTCATAAATTTCTTTTCTCTTTACTAAAGCCGTTTTCATGTAAAGTTTTTTATTTTTTATTTTTTTCTCTTGTCTTTGTTTTGGGTTAGAATGTGTTATTCAGAAATTCGTTTTGGCTTTACGAAAGCCGTTTTCATTTAAATAATTTTTTTTCTGTTGTCTTTATTTTGGGTTAAAAGGTGATAATGTAATTCATAAAACCTTGAGGAAAAAACACATAAGTCTCCCACAAAAATACATACGTAGTACAGACATAAGTCTCGGACAACAATACATTGTGGACACCATGAACTAAACACACAATACATAGATAAACATAACAGTTAGACAAACAAATATTAGCCAGACAATTTGACAAACTCATTACGGAAACACTTACTCTAACACAGACATTACATATTAATGCATGACCTAATATTGCCGAAGTGTAGACATTAACACCTAATTCGCGCTTAAATCGGTAGGTGGCTCAGAGTCTGAATAATCCGAAAGCTCAGCATCAGAGACAAGCTCAGGATCCTCCATGATACCCTTGATAGCCACATCATTTGGTTCTGTTTTGTTCTTCTAGGCATCCTTCTTAACTATGTATAGCTGCATATCGCGGGCTAACCTACGGCGCATTTGAGAAATCTCACGTTGTAGTCTTTCACATAGTCGATCAACATTATCAGGATCTTCCTTTTGGATCTCAACAGAACGTGCTTTTGGCACCTTCAATCGATTTTCCCGACATAATCTTTCCATTTGGACTCGCTCTATAAATAGTGCGGGCCACTTCAGAAGTCTAGCGTTTGCTAAACCATATCCTGTTTGATTATCTGATGGTTGCTCCACCAAACCACATGGATCTCGATAGTACTTGGGCATGACAAAACAGATAGCTTTTGCTCCACCATGGGAACCTGTAGGAAGGCTGCCAACCACTTGTTGGTGTTGCCAACCACTTGCCGACACCTATGTTTGCTGCAGACCAGAAAAAGTGGTCGGCCAGCCACTTTTACTGGTCTGCCGACCACTTGTTGCTGCACTTCTCCAATTTACTGCAACAGAGAACAAGAAGGAGCATGACAATGTATTTGCGAGATATGTGTGCACAACCACCCTCCCTATCATTTCATGATCTCAAGAGAGTGTGGTTCTTGAATTTCGGGTCACTAATCACGCATCTCGATGCATGATAGCCAAAGAGGCAAGATTGTACGAATCAATGTAAATGAATGCACACATAACACATAAATGCCTTAACCTCTATCATGCACGATAAAGAGGGTCGGCGACCGAGAAATGAGGCACATTTCATCACTTCAAGTATGAAACGTCCCTTGTTTTCCGTGTTTGGACTAACACC